TGAACTGACAAGATGAAGAAATAGTATAATATAAAATAGCAGGAAAATAGCTCTAAAATATTCGACCGTGAAGAGGTGGTGGAATTGTGGCAAGCACTCTCCGCTAATCACGAAAGGAGATCTGAGTGGCTGGAGTCTACATTTTAGAACGAAGAAGATCATTGACTTAAAGAAATAAAATGCATGGTGGTTTGCGGTTGGGAAAATGGAGTAGGGTTGGCTGAAATTAGTTGCTTAGTTATTGGGCCAGAGACATGGAGTTTTTGGAGCGAAGCTAAAAATTTTAATTTAAAAATAAATTAAAATATTTTTTATTTTTTATTTTTTAATTAATATATTAAAATAATTAAAAAACATAAATAAAATATTATTTGGAATACAATTTCAAGCATCAATATTGATGCTTACCTTTATAATGCATCACGACTATGCTGAGTGCTTCATCACCTTCCATCCAGGTCTTGTTGCAGGGTTGCATACAAAATTTTTTTATTTTTTTTTATTTTTTGCATAAAAAAGAGGTTACCATAGAGATTATTTATACATTAAATTCAAGATTTGAGCTCTATACTGTAGCATCACGGGGCTCAATTCCTCGATCTCGTATGGTTAATCTGAAAGCGGCAGCGAGCTTTGCCAGGGCATGGGGTGTTTGGCATGTGGCTAATATTTTACACTTCGACAAGGTTCGTGTTTTTCAAGAACTGAGGTTGTTGTCTCTTACAATTGTCTGAATATAATAAATTTATCAATTTGATATAAACTTCAGGCCTCGAAATAAGATTTTTCTAAATTTTTTATTTATTATCATGTCAAATTCTCATTATTGGTAGGTAGTGTTTGAAAATATTAAATTGTATTGTATATAGAAAATTAAAAAATAAAGGACCCCCGTGTGACATATATAAATCACACTTCCTTTTTAGTAATCACCATTAAAATTTCAAATTAGACAACAAAAAATAATTTTTTTATAGATTTATTGATTTTACTGTATCAAAGACGTGAAGGTCTTAGAAATTCCACATGTCTACTGTAAAAACAAATTTAAAAGGCGTTACGAATAATTAACAACCCCCCCCCCCCCCCAAAAAAAAAAAAAACTATACATCTCCTCAATTATTGTAATCTAAATGGTAAATTTAATATATTTTTTTAAATTTATTATTCTTTATCATCCATTCCAATTTATTTTTTATGGGTTATTTTAATTTGGATTATAAGTTGAGAGTTTAATATGTTAACCCTGACTGAGAGTTTAATATGTTAACCCTGACTTAAATGATTTTTTTATGAGTTTTTAATTAATTTTTAATATTAATTAATTAAAAATTATACTTCATAATATATTTTAATTTAGATTATCCTAGTCTCAAAACCTGGATGATAGGCTTAACAACTAAACATGTCACGAGTTATTTTTTATGTTTTTTTTATTTTATTGTTCTATATTTAGTTTATTAAAAATTAAATTTTATAAATATTTTTATTTTTTAATGAAATTATTATAATTTTATGATTTAGTATGTAGATTGATGGGTTAATTAAAATCAATTCAATAAATTATTATTTTAATATTTATTAAAAAAATTATATTGAATATTTATTATAAATTATATTATATTTCTACTTGATATTTGAATGGTTTTAAAATCTGCTAAAATAATTAAATCATGCCAAATCAATTTTTGTACTGTTTTCTTACTAAAAAAAATTATTGTTAATGCTTAAATATTTTTTTTAATGTTCGAAAATTTGATAGAGCCCGCGGGCAAAGCGCGTGAGAAATGATGCGGCTGAATTGAAAAGCAGAGGCGAATAAATTAATTTCCTAAATGGGTAGCCTAAACGATAAGAAAAGCTGAACCTCTAGTATTTACAGTGGGTCCAAACCTGGCAAGTTAAGTAACCGAGGAATGGGTGTTTTTCAAAGAAACGGAGGGCAGTCAAAAGTCGGCCTCGTAGCCCACCAAGTCGCTGTTGGTTGTTGAAGGGGCCATCTAGAAAGATTCTTAAAAATGAGCATTCTATATTGAAAACGGAACCTTTAAACAAAAATAATTCTTCTTCTTTTTCTTCTTCTTATTATTAAAAATAATTAATTAATATATATAAAAAACACTGTAACTGTAGAGATATTACAATGACTAAATAATGATTAAGATTTTTTATAGTAATTTTTTTATAATTATAAAATTATTTTTAAAAAATTCTTATATTTTATTAAATAAAAAAAGTTGAACACTTCACCTGAGAACAATTAGAAAATACTAATACTTTTTAAACAACACGTACCACATCTCCTGGCATCATAAAATGTGTTTTTTTTTTTCTCTTCTCTTGACATCTCTTTACATTATATTTTTTAATGTAGTCCTTATTATTTTTTTATGGTCATTTCATGAAAATTTTAGTAGTTTTGAATTTCATTATTTAATTTTAAATTAATGGTATTATATTTTTCAACTTAATTCTTATTGTTTTGATTTATAATTTTCTTCTTAGTCATTTTTGTAATGTTATTATTATTTTTAATTTTACCCTTCAATTACAACATTCTTTTTATTTTTTATGTCAATTTGGATCCTTATTCTTTTTAATTTTGTTATCCTTTTACTAACTTATTTATTTTTTTAATTTTACTCTTCAATTAAATATATAATTTATTTTAAATTTTAAATTTGATTTTTATTTTTTTAATTGCTATTTTTAAAATCTTTTTGTATAGTTAAAATTATTTTTCAATTTTATACTTTAATATTTTATTAATTGAGAATTGAACTTCATAATTTTTTTAAATTAGGTACACTAGGTCTAATAATTCAAATCATAAATTTAACAAGTTAGCATGATTTTTTTTTTTTTTAAATAATAATAATATAATTTTTTTAATAAAATTATTTCAATCAAATAAATTTAGCCACGAGCTTGACGTAATATTCTTAACCCGCTCAATCATAATTATAACTGATATTTTAATTTTTTTTTTATTTCAATACCTAATCATTATTTTTTTACACAAAAAATATATTCTAGCACTATATATTCTAGCACCGGGAGGCAGCGCCGGCATCAGTACAAGTTATCTCCACGGTGCTTCTTGAATTCACATTTTCATAGTGATATTTATCGTAGCCTTTCCTTGATTATGATTTTTGTTCTAGCCCTTCCTTGATAATAATGAACTCCATATAATAAGAAATTAGTGTTCTTTGGCGGCTGAGTCAACAACGGAACCCATAGCACATGCCTGCATTGCTTAAATTTATGTAAAAAAGTCAATGAGAATAGGTCTCCGCTTCCCAGAACCCCCTCCCAAGGTTCCTGTAAAGGTCGCATTTGTAAGCTGCCACTATCCCTATGCTACTTATACCGTGTTTTTTATGACATTTATTATGTTATATTATTCAATTCAATTTAGTCATTAAATATCACTCTTGAAAAAATTACAGAAAAATAATCCATCAAAAAATCATAATTAAAACTATGTAAGGATAATTTCTTATTTTAAATTTTATCATATACTGTAATATGTTTTTTCACCACTTATCCACATTTTTTTAATCAACTCGTTGTAATGTTTAGATATTTTACAAGAAACCTGCGAAACTAGCATGCTATTTAACATTACTAGATATCTGACTTGTGTTATGACATGTGCTGTAACTTTTTTTTTTAAAAAAAAATCTGATGAATAGATTATTTTAATATGTTTTTATAAAAAAATTTAAAATATAAATAAAAATTTTTATCAACAAGGTACTAAAAATCTAAATAGCTTGAGAATAGAGCTCTCAAGTTGGATGATAAGTTAATTATTTACTTAAGCAATCTCATTCATTTTTTATGAGAATGATAACCTATACCGAGTGTTTAATAGACCAATGTAACTTTTGATTAATATTTTATTTAAATAAATATCTTTTCTTAAAAAATATATAAAAATATTTTAAAAAAGGCATTCTAAAAATATAACCTTGTCACATAATTAAATAAAAGTGGTTCAACGTAGTAATAATAAAATTACATAAGCTTGTCGTATGGTGACTATTTATTTATTTATTTATTCATGACGAGGGTCATGTTCCAAGAACTATTAAAAACAAAAGTAAACATTCCACAACTCTTGAAAATATAAAAATCACCAGTAAAAATTAAACAGATAACCTTAACATCCTACAAAAATATCCCAACAATTAAATATCTCAAAAATTATAAAATAATGAATCACAATTAAATGAATACATATAACAACATCCAGAAAATCAAAACATATATGACAAATCTTGATTCTTCTCGATCCAAAAGACCGAGCATGTGAGGTTTTTGAACGTTGCTGCTGCTCGCTTTTGCCTGTGCTCCACTGACAAATGCATTCAGCAACCCTTTTCATTTGTTCCTGCATGCTCGTGAGAAAAACCTTGCATCGAGCACTGCAGAAAGCAACGAGAGAGAATGGTGTGATGGATTGGATAACATCTTTTCTCAACAAATGGCAGCAATGCACTGTGCAGAAAGTCCAAAGCCTCAATTGTCCGACGGCGGGCCTCAAATTTTGGAACAAATTTTTTTAAAGAATTGTAGAAGGTGAAGCTCCTCGTGTAATTTCTCAGCCCTCGTAGTGGGGCGAGCCCATTTTTGTTTGATTGCTATTGTAAATAGGTAAACACCAGAGATAATAAATACAGTTTATTTCTGTATTTTAAAAATTCTTTTTTAAAAAATTATTATTTTTTATTTTTTATATTGAAATAAAATTTTTAGTATTTCCAAATTGTTTTGATATATTAATATTATAATTTTTTTTTCTTAAATGAAAATATTATTTTACTATATTTTATAATAAAATAACACTTTCAAATACAATTGCTACCATAATCTTAACTACCCCCTCGAAGCACCCTCTAAAGATGGATGGCCTGGTTCCATTCGTCAACCATTTTCAACTTTCCAGACCAGGCAAATGGTCTCCTCAGTTCACGTTGAGAATTTGATCAACATGAGAGTGAATCGAATCATCATTCTCTGTTCAAATTTTTGTCCTTGCTCTTCTTAGAAAGCTTGAAACAATGTCACAAACAGGCTTAAAGCATATGTTGTTGGAGGTTACACTCGACTACAATTTCAGCATACTTGGAGAAAGCACCAAAAGACGTTAATGCACGTATACAAAGCAGCAAATCAAACTGAAGAAGAAAAAACCTCTTCAAACAAACGCCAACAATATGATGAAGTGATCTAAATTTTCATTTTTCAGGAAGTTTTCTCCCTTTCCGAACCTTGTGCTGATTCAGACACTAGCTGCTTGGAATACACACGGTGCCGCCTTTCTCTACCATATATGACCCAGAAGATTAGAGAAAGCATAACTGCAGTAGATACCATCACCAAACCTATGTAGATCCATCTACTGTATCTCCTGAGACTTGGACAATGATCCTTGTATATGTCACTGAATGTTTCCCTTGCAAAAGTGCAGTCTCCTAGCTCAATCAGGAAAGGAGCATAATTATTCAATCCATAGCTCACATTTATTGCAGCTGACATTTGGCTGTAGAATGCAGGGGTCAAACGTCCTGTCGTAGCACATATCCCGGTTGGTGAAACCTGACACACATAGCTACTCCATACCTGAACAAGTTGAGCGAAAACATTGAATAATTCTTCCAATTTTTGGCATGAGAGAGTTTGTAAAAGTCTCCAGTTTCTTTGCCGATGTAATGTTATTAAGGGAAATCTTAGGCAGAATGAAAGGGCTGGCAAGAGTTCGTTGAATCCTGCCTTTACTATATGTAGCCTAGTAATGGTTCCTTCAGTACATTATGCATCTAAAAACTTCCATTGTTTCTGGCTTCTATTAATTACCTGTGTAGCGTTGGTCAAGTCCACCTCACCAGCACTGCAAGGCCGAATCGTCAAGTCGGCATAAAATGGGTTGCAGAGTATTGGCACCAATGGACCAGATTGGTTGATGTACATTGGTTTGAAGTTGGGGGAGAAGTTGAGATTAGAAACATTAGTGATGACCTGGTTGACCACTTCTACAAGCTGGGAAGTGATTTCCTTGCTCTTTATCAAAGTATCTTGGGTAGTTGCTTGGTCCACACAGGGCAGAATATCGTCTAAAGCTGTATGAGCAGTCGGGTTGTGCACCCAATGATCCATAGCGACACAAGTATCTCCAGCCACGCTAGCATGTATAAGAAAGAATAATTAGAAATTTGGTGAGGGAATCAGAAATATGAAATAAAAAAGGAATTTCTCAGAGAAAAATGAAGTGTTATAAAGGAAATAAGAAATCTAAAAGGACTACTTTTAATTTCTTTTAAGCATACTAGCTCGCAGTTTAAGAAACAATAGCACTCCCAGACCTAGTAAAGGCAGTGCACTTGCAGTGTGTTTGTTATCCCAACCCCATCATTCCAACGATTTCTGTTTTGAAGACTAAATCAGTGTCATGATGTGACAGCATTCTATTAATCCATTAAGGGACCGGATAAATTTGGAGTTAACATGATGCTAAACGAAGTTCAATAAGAATAAGATCCACCACCCTTTAAGATCCTTTAACTTCGAGTCTAATAAGGGATTCATAGAGTGATCACCTCCTATAAAAGGATGCTTCCAGTTGAAGTGAGCACGGTGAACAGGCTCAACAATTAGATAAAGCAACCATAGAAGTAGAAACAAAACAGTAGAGGGGGAAGAAGTTACAGAATTGAATATGAAAGATGAATGAGAACATTATATAGGTGAATCGCTTTGGACATAGTTGAACAAAGAGATAAATGTCATGTGTGGTGTGATATCCAATGTGGTACAGACAGTTTGATCCTTGTTTCAAACATGATCACTAGAATTATTTAGGACTAAGAATATTTAAGTTTCAAATGGCAGGACAGATTCACTGTTTGGAAAATTGTTGACTGTAACTACAGATCAGTCTTCTCTTTACAAATAATACCAATCAGAAGGCTGTAAGAAGATGAATATCACATTTCTCACCACAACGACTAATCAAAATATTGTAGTGAGTTTCAACCCACTAGATGATAAATGTCAGCAAAAAAATTTAGTTCAGTGGACATAAGAGTTGGAATCTGTACCAAATAGACTTTCACGAGACATCTGCAACTGGACCAATAAGCATAGTCAGCAGCATATAACTTACTTGTGAAGAAGAAGGAATGTGCCACACAAAATGAATGTTCCAGCAACAAGAATCCATCCAACGATGACCAGGCTGCAACAATTTTATGAGGTTCATCGATCGAGAGCAGGTAACAATTAAATGCAATAATACTGAGACTATGAGACAAAGGGGCATGAATGTTGACATAAAGAAAATCACTTACATGTACACCAGGAACTGCATGCCGAAAATTGAGAACACTAGAACACAAACTCAAAACATCATTACATGTGCTTTGCAACAATTTTTAAACATTGGAATTATTCACACTTTATCTTATCAAGAAAAAAGGAAGAGGGCTTACAGAATCCAAGAAATGTTAGGAGAAGCATAATAGCAGCAGTAGTAATCAGTGCCACTCTCCTGCATGAACATGCTCATTATATGATCAAGATGACCTACTCAATCAGATACAATAAGCTTTGGTATCCTTCAACTTACACAGAATCCAGGAGATCTTTTATGTCTTCTGAATTATCCACCGTTTTGTCAGAAAGGACACTAGCAGAAGAATTAATTCTTGTGCCAATCTGGTCAATATCAGTTTGGACATTAGAAGGTAGAAAAACTTGATCAACTCCAACTAGCTTGGCTGAAGCAATAAAATCTGACACAGCCCTTAGTTTATCGACTGTGGTGTCTGCCTGATTCACAACATACTCCAAAGTTTGTGTTGTGCTTTTGTGAAATCTTTCCTGAGCAGTATATAGAACAACACATCCAATCCTGTGGCCAAAAAATTCAGCATTAGTTTCTTCATAATAGATTGATGCATGTGCACACTAGTGCATACACATATGCACGCGCACGTGTGTGCGTGAGAGAGAGAGAGTGGGGGCGGGGGAGAGGGAGAGAGGCATCTACATAGCACAAATGCTGAAGAGAATGAGGAAAACGAGGGAGAGAGCATAAGCTGTTTGAGAGTAGCCATAGTGCTGCCTTTTGCAACAGAAATGACAAAGGCAACCAAAGAGTAAGCACAGCCCAAATACCAGGAACCAGACTGCAGCAATAGCAAACAGAGGAGCTGCAGTGAAACCTACAGACTGCATTCAAACAAAATTTTCAGTTACCAGAGAACTCTAGAAGAAATCTGAAAATCCAGCCTAAACAGACAATTAGAATGTAGTTGGTATCAAACAAGTAAAATCCAACACAGAATGTCCATTCAATCAATAACTCTACATTGTTTTCCTCGAGCACAACATCCACCGATAACTTTTCATCACCTGCTAGAATGTAGATTATTGATTAATGCTGTTATTTTATTTGGATTAACTTGAATCATTTGCCTAGACAAGACTATTATTCTGGTTCAACAATTTAGATAACATGCAAGGCACATTTCAAGCAAGTAGCATTAAACACTGCTTGATATCAAACCATATCAACAGCATGCCTCATCACAATCATGCTCATAATGATATCGGATATCAGGACTAGCAATTTGTTATCTTCAACAACTGTAAGGAAAAGTATTTATACTGATTTCAACAAGATTCTAAGATTATTGGTATTTTTCTTGATTCAAAGATAGAGAAATCAGCGATTAATGATTGAATGATGCTAAACTCTGCATATTTTTTCCAGTTCTATTAATGAATGCAAATTGGGATCTTTCCTCCATCACAAAAAATTATGACATTCAATTCATACATTGTCTCTAAAGCACCCTGACCATAAACTAGTACATTACATTTACTTCTTTCCCTGCATAGCATATTGGCATGCTGACAACATGTCAGAAATGTAAGATCCAATCTAGTAATTGTCAACTGGTAATTAAGAGAGATTGAAACCCTACACCTCTACAACAACAACAGTACAAATCATCAATGAACAACCTAAAAAGAAAAAGAAAGATGAGTGCTAGTGGGGTTTGACCGTTGATGAATAAACTTACAGCCCAGTAATGACGATCACTGATATTCCATCCTCCAGTGTATCTTTTGAAATCATTAAGAGGGTCTTTTCTGTAAGTCCTCTTTGGAGCTAACACAAGTACTGGTGAGTTATCAACAGGTTCACCGATGGGCGCCTCCACCACAGGCCTTCTTGTCCCCCATGAGAACTCCATTTCATACTTAGCTTCATCTGCTCTCCCTGCCACTGCATTGCAAAATCAACACAAAATGATACAACTTTATATGCAAACATCAAAGGTGAGTAAAGTTAAGATTGTCTGCTTGGTAGCTTAGAAAATTCAGAAAAACAAAAGAAAAAAACAAAATTTTGCAAAGCTAAGTGTGTTAGTTAAGGCTTCCAAGAAGCATGAAAACTTGCAATAATCAAGTAAAAAAGTTTCAACATGCACATTTTAGTGGGGTCACATAAAAGTGTTGAAACACTAAAGTATAACACTCCAGTCCTCTTTTTTCTTGCTACATTTTCTCAGAAACCAAACAGAAGATGATGAAACAGCGGAACTTAACAGAAAAGTTAAGAGATAAGAAGCGTACCAGCAGGGGGTAGAGCAGAGAAGGAAGGGAAGGTAACAGAAGCACCATGTGAGAGGGGAACAGATGCTGAAGAAGTAAAGAAGACAAAGGTGAGCAGAAGGAGAGTAAATGACAGTAACCCGTGACATAACATGATGGCACACGATCACAGAGAGTGGGAGGGAGGGAAAGAAAGAGGCTCTCTGTTTTTCTTTACTGGGTTGCTTGATGCAAGCTTTTCAGATAAAGACAGAAAATCTGTTGGTTCTTTTCTTCCTTTCCCATTGGACATGTAACAATCTTAATTTTCTTCTTTCCTTCCTTCTTTTTCCTATTATTCTTAATTAATCTCAACTTCATAAGGTGAGTTAATTAATTAATCTAAAACTAAAAAAATATTAAAAAATTTAAAACTAAAACGGAATATGGTATTTTAATATTAATAAAACTCAAAATAATGAACGATTAACTATTCAGTAACAGATGGAGTAGAAAAGCAGGGAGGTGGAGAGCTCATGTATTATGGTGTGCAATGATGTAAAAAGGGTTCCAATGCAAAATGGAAACCAACTGGATGGGTCCCGGAGGGGGCGAGTTTCCCAAAAAATTACGACCTTTGTCGTCCGTTTTTTGTCTTGGAAACCGGAGATTGTTTTCTGAGGTCCACAATTTCCGGCCATTTTCATGGCTTTCAATGTTCCCTGCCTTCCCGCCTCGCAGCCTATGGCTAGAGCAGCCCATTTTCTTGAGAGAGAGAGAGAGAGAGAGAGAGACGGGTAACTGGGCTCTCCAGGCATCCTGTGTGGGCCTTTACCACATGGTTTTCAACTCGATGTTTAAAATCCATCATCAGCAATTATTGATGCGTGTGCAAAAAGAATGTGTTTTCGTATAAAATCAGAGAAAACGAGTTTATTAATTGAAATTGTTTTTTTTTTTTTGAAAACGGATTTTTCTGTTTCTCTTCGATCGTTTAGAAAATTAAATAAAATCAAAATAATTATCTTTCGAAATCTCTACCGTAAGAAACAATAATCCATCGGGAAATATTTTCATAATAAATAATAAATAAAAAAACTACAAATGCAAACAAAAAACTATTTTGTAAAAATAAACACAGCCTTAGATTTTTTTTTCATGATTTAAGAGTAAAATACTCTCGACCAAACCTTCCTAGACACAAGTATCTATGTAGTTTGAAAAATATTTCATGTTTTAAAAAATTTAATTTTTAAATTTTTTATATATTTTTTGAATTTTTTTAATATACTAATTTAAAAAATAAAAAATATTATTTTAATATATTTTAACATAAAAAATATTTTAAAAAATAATCAAAATCACATAAACATTTAAACTTTAAAGTTGCCATAGATGAAGCAAAATATCCCTTTTTGTTGTTTATCTCCCAAGCTCCAAGTCAATCAAAATTACAGCGTGTAGTATCGAGGCACTATAACATTTTTTTTAATTATTTTAATAAAATAATATTAAAAATAAATTTTAAAAAATAAAAAGTATTTTAAAACATTTCATTACAAAAATACTATAAAAAATAATCACCATAATAATAAACATTATATTTAAAAATAAATTTTAAAAAATAAAAAATATTTTAAAACAAAAATACTTTAAAAAATAATTAACAATTTTAATAATTCAATGAAAAATCACTTTAGAAATACTCAACGGTGACGCACAACTGACATGTCGCCTAGGTAAAAAATCTAAAATAACAGTAACAGCTCAGTTTGTCAGCGACTTCTTCCAACCACTCCCAAGAAAACTGTTTTTCCCCCCCCTGCAACGGCCACAGCCTCCTTCCCTCCCTTTCTAGCAGCCATAGACGTTTATGTAACACAAAGAGAGATCTTTAGACTTTAGAGAGAGAGTGTGTGTTTTAGACTGCAACACAAAAAATGGGTTGTGGGAATTTCTTCTTTACAGTACTAATAACCTTCTCAGTAGCCCTTATAGCATACAACATCCTTATATCAGCAAACGCGCCGCTTAAGCAAGACTTACCAGGTCCATCATCAAGATCAACACTTTTGGTTGACCCAGTAATCAAGATGCCATTAGAAAGATCAAGAAGATCAAGTTTTGGTAAAAAGAGACTGTTTCATACAGCTGTGACAGCTTCTGATTCTGTGTATAATACTTGGCAGTGTAGGGTAATGTATTATTGGTACAAGAAGCATAAAGATGGACCCAATAGTGAAATGGGTGGGTTTACTAGGATCTTGCATTCTGGAAAGCCTGATAAGTTTATGGAGGAAATCCCAACTTTTATAGCACAGCCTTTGCCTGCTGGGATGGATCAGGTTTGTGTTCTTCTTTTGAAATTTGGGTCTGTTTTAGTTTCTTGATTTATGTAGTTTACTTTTAGAATTAGTTGAAGTTGCACTCACTTTGAGAGTTGGTTAAAGTCTCTAGCTTGGTTAACTGAATTTGAGAGTATCATTAAAATCTTGATTATTGAACATTGTCACGATCCAGGCCTGAATTTGGATATAAATTGATTGATAGTGTGAGGGGCTAGTGCATTTTGTCGTGATGTAAATTGATTGATGGCGTTATAGTAGAAGTTGCTGGTTGTATAGAGACTCTGGCTTGAAGCAGATGGCTTCCTGCTGGCTTCTTTTTGGGAATGATAAGTCAACCCAGCCGAAAAACAAATCCGAATGATGTTCCCCTCATGCTTCAATGGGGAAAATTGGGAGAAATTGGTCGTGTTTTAAGATTTTCCTTGTTTTCGGCGTTATTATTGGTTAAATTTCCATTGTTTGCTTATCTCAAATCTTACACAATCACAGGGCTATATAGTTCTCAACAGACCTTGGGCGTTTGTGCAATGGCTTCAAAAAGCAGACATAAAAGAAGAGTACGAAACGTTAAAATCCCCTGCTTCTGTGACGAGTTGATCTTTATTTCAGTAGATTTGACTTTATCTATGTTGTTTTACTTTGTACTCAGTTACATATTGATGGCAGAGCCAGATCATATTATTGTTAAGCCCATCCCAAACCTATCTAAAGATGGCCTTGGAGCTGCGTTTCCTTTCTTTTACATTGAACCAAAAAAGTATGAGTCTGTCCTACGAAAGTACTTCCCTAAGGGACCAATAACAAACATCGATCCCATAGGAAATTCTCCTGTCATTGTTGGGAAGGTTTGTGTTTTAATATGCTCTTTCTGACTGTATTATTCTCCCAAATATTGGCCTTTTCTTGATTGTCTGAGCAAGATTGTCAGGAATCTCTTAAGAAGATTGCTCCCACTTGGATGAATGTCTCCTTGGCAATGAAAAAGGATCCCGAGACAGATAAAGCTTTTGGCTGGGTGCTTGAAATGTGAGACTTTTGTGGTTAACTCTATTTTTGCGAAGACCTTATTGTAGGGAACTGACCTTTTCTGTTTCCCCTTACTCTTTGCTAAATACAGGTATGGTTATGCTGTTTCATCTGCTCTACATGGCGTTGGCAACATCCTGTACAAGGACTTCATGATTCAGGTTTAATTAAAGCAGCACTTCCTTGCTGTCATACACCAGTCTGAAAAAATGCAGAAAATTCCCTCCAGTTCATAGCGAAATCTATCTTTTCCTGAAATCATAACGATGTGCCATTTTCCTATATTTCAAATTTTAGGGATTGCCTTTTCACTAGTAGTTACCCATTTTGCATCGTTTGACAGCCTCCTTGGGATACAGAAGTTGGCAAGAAGTTCATAATTCATTACACTTATGGATGTGACTATGATATGAAGGTAGTCTGCTGCTGATAGACTGATTCAATTTTATGTTCTAAGCTGTTCAAGGATGAAGAAAAGATAAAGAGGAACAGCTTCTGACTTCTTGATTTATTGCAATTACATTCATTTGCTATTATTAAGCCTGGTTCAACAAGATTTTGGTTTTTGTTACTTTGATTGCAGGGTAAATTAACCTACGGAAAGATTGGAGAATGGAGGTTTGACAAGAGATCTTATAATACCGTTATACCCCCAAGAAACCTTCCCTTGCCTCCACCGGGTGTTCCAGAGAGTGTGGTATGTTTCATTTCACCTTATAGTCCAAACACTTGCTGCTTGCATGATTATTATGCACGAAAAGCTTTAACAAACAATTTAACACGCGTTTCGGCACCTGGAGTTTTCCGTTCTTGCTCATTTTTTTCTCATTTCTACACGGGGAACTAATTCTGCCCCAAAATTCAAGATTTTGCTACTTTTTACCATTAAGTAAAGCATGGAAGATTTATGCGACCCAATATCCCAGGTGTGAACAGCAACTTCCTGGGAGCATACCCATACAGAATAAACTCAAGCTCCCTTCGAGTAGTATCATATTTAGTGCTGGATTAAAGAGTACTCAAGCTTCCTTTTTCGTTGCCTAGGTTGCCCAAAAAGAAGACCTTCCACAAAGACTCTCAGGTTGAAAGGTCAAATGGGCACGTTAAAAATGTTTTGTAAATTGTTGGATGAATTGAAATTAAGCCTACGTCAATAGTCAGCTTTAGGTATAGCAACCTAGTTTAGACAAATTCTTGATTCCCTTTTCCATCTGGAGGTGACATTGCATCTCTAAAAGCTTCCTTCGATGTATATTGGATTTGATTTTGCAACGGATAATCATAATCTATACAGTGGAAAGTAATCACTCCATTAAGCTCTAAGATCGAAGCTTTGCTGTAGAGTGATGTCCCGTCATCAGTTCAAGCTTTTGTTATTTAAGCACATAATCGCATGGCAGGTTACTCTGGTGAAAATGGTGAATGAAGCTACTGCAAACATTCCAAATTGGGGATCCTAAGGAGGATATATGGTTGCTAACCGACAAGGAAGCTTGGGTTTGCTGCTTGATGCGACTTGAGCCTTCGTATACTTTGAGGTGCCGCATGTGATATGAAAACGGTTGTGAGCATTTGAATCTCATGCAACCCTTGGTAATCGTTGGGAGCTAGCAGAGTGCAATGTGCTCGATGTTATAGTAACTTGCACGAATAAATTCGGATCAGACTGACACTATTGGCTGATGTACACTGACAGTATTACTTGAGTATTCCTAAACACTAGCCTTCATCTGCACCTGATTAATTTTATGTATTCTCTATTGTTGTCCTTTTTCCCGTAATTTGTTGTTACTTCTAAAGAGAGGATAGTCTCCTCGCATGGGGAAAAAAAAACAGTAATATTGTAATTCTAAAAATGGCTCTGTAACACCTGCTTCCGTCTATTGCTTATATTTTTTATTGATGCAATTGGCAAAAGCAGAAACAATGCGCAGAATTTTGGAGCAAAACATTTACTAAGACAACTG